TTCCATTTACTTAACTTAATGCATTCCATTCCCACTCTGTGGGCTGGTCACACTCCTGTGATAGCCCTGGGAGAAGCTGGGTCAGGGTGCTTACTTCTCTGTTAGGTTATTCAGTTCCCCTGCCTTTCATTGCCCCTCTGAGCAGCTTTGAGCATGTGGAGAGGACTCTTTTATCAGGAGCCTTTTATCACTCAACTGAACCAATGTATTTATGCACGGGGTTCTATCACCCAGAGACAGAATACAGTCGAACAGTTGGGACGCCTTAAACACACTAGAACTTCTTCCAAAACTAAACAGCTATTGTGGTGAAGTAAAATCAATGGCCAGTGACATATAGAACTGTCACAACTATTCTGTTTTTCAAAAATTAGTTGATGAAATAAGTAAAAAACCAAACAAAAGTAGTAAAAAAATCCTACTTGTTCATAAACTACCCAACACAAAGATTGACATTATTTTTTAACAAAAACTATCTTTTTTAAAGTTTAGCTATGACTTAACACAAAAAACCCAAGCTGCAGGTTATAAAATATGTCTCCTAATATAAGAGAACATACACAAACCCAATCTATATGAGACAAAGGAGTTTGAATTTTTTCTTGGCTAAATCTATATTTTGAAATCATTCTGCAATCAATGATCTTGTATTACTTCTCTACTCCTATGCAATTAATTTAAAAAGAGCTCTTTGGAGTCAATGGGCTATGTGTTTAGTAAGTTCCACGAAGTATAATATTAATTAACTACTTGCTATGTCAGAGCAAAATGCTGATACTATCAGAACATCAAAGTTGTTATCTGAAAGTAGGAATTCTCACACCCCAACCAGGAGTTATGTGCCATCTGTGAAAGAGAGAAATGACAGCCAAATGGTCTAGGATAAGGAAATACACAGATTTTTGTAACACAGATTTTAAATTTATGAATGACTGTGTATTTTTGTCTTTACCTGCCCTTTTCTTTCGTTAAAGCTCTAGCGAAACTGCCAGTACTAGCATGTTTTGCTACTTAATCTACTGATGTCAGAAGATGCAGACATCAAGAAATTTAAAAAAAAAAGAAGTTTCACCTCTCCATATGAAATCAAATTAAATTACTACCTACAACGTTTCTAGTGATACAATATAATGTGTATTCTTCTGCAGCTTAAGAGGTTCATTCTGCAGCACCCACTATTGAGTCTAGAACTGGGATCCAACTGCTACTGCCATCAAACTGGCTACTTTTGATGATAGCACAGTGTGACTTCTAGTGTTTATCTGTGTTTTCCTGCTTACTTTTTTTCACAGACATTAAAAAGCGAGCTTATATCTTCCGACGTTTCACTGAAGGATATTTTTTAAGTCCCAGATACCCTACACTACAAGAATGCCATTCTTTTTCCTTGAAGGTTTAATTACCTTTGAATATAAACAGTGTTAGTTGCAGCATGAATAGTCCCTACTGTCCTACTAGCCTCTGAGCAGCAAGGGCTAGCCTGCAGTTTGGGAGCAGAATCAACACAGGGCTATGGTACATGCCTGGGAATGTACCTGGGTGTCCTGGCATAGGGAATGCACATGAATCTACTCTGTAAGAAAATTAATCAGAGCTGCTGAGACTGACCAAAAGGATAACCCCTGTCTGTTCCCCATTTACAAACAAGCTGCACATCCAAACAAGTCTCTTTCACCCTCTGCATGTCTACAACAGGATATTCCTCTGGGAAAGCCCTGGGTCTTCCAAGCATGCAGCAAAGATTTTGGCATGCAGGTAAGAGCCAGGAAAGAACTTGGAAGAATATGTTTGCCAGGATTTTAATAACTCATGTGAGTCACAAGTAGCTGAAGTAAAAAGGCAATTTTAATTTCCCCCGAAATAAATTAACATTAATTTAAACCTTTCTTTGTATATACTAAACTGTATCTAATAAACTAAAAGACAAATGTTTTATTTTCTTTCAAAATTCCTTTTGAGGAAAGTATAGTTTTCCTCAACTTCAAAGGCAAATCAATTTAAGCAATCAATACATTATTTTCAGCAGCCCAAGATAACAACCAGTTAACAGAAAAGATAGGGGAAAAAATGAAATAAGAATGTCTGACCTCACTACCTTTTTCTTCCACGTTCCCTTTTGCCAAGGAGACACTTTCAATGTAAAGAGGTTCTACCAAGGCAGAATAATTATTCTCTATCTTGCATTTCTGGAAGATAGTTAGAAAGGCTGTCCAGCCATTCTGCAGGCTGGAGAGCTTGTTGTAAAACAAATGCAGTCACTTACATGCAGAACACATCATTCCTTTGGAACATATTTAATGAGTTCTGCAAAATGAATTCTGCTTGTGTTTATAGCTGTAGACATTTATAACTCAGTCAAAGCAAAACCAATATTCCACATAAAATTCATCTTGGCACCCTAGTAAGAGCCATTTCATTAACAAGTTATCACTTGCTCTCACCTGTCTTGACTGCAGCCCATCAGGCATTCTTAAATTCTATGCTTCACTAACTTTTACAATCAGAAAGGTTAACCTAAAATGTTAACTTAAATGTTAAGTGATAAATTATAATTACATACATATATAGATTTTCAAAGAAATAACATTTCTGTGTTTCTTTGAGAGAAAGGAAAAATCCATTACTTCACCCAGCATGTAGCTCAAAAATTATGCTCTCCAAACTAAATCCTCAAAAACTTTTGCAAAGCCAAAAACATTGGAAACTTTCAAGCAATCTTGTTTCCTTTTGTAAAGCTAAAATAGCAAGTTTACAAATGTCTTCTGTTTGCAAAGCAGTTTTCCCTCATGTTTCCCATGCAGTTTTTTTTCCTACTGTAAAAATCATGTCTGGAAAACTTTGGACAGACATGCTCACTCCTACAAAATTAGTGTGTCCAAATACTAGAGCTGTATCAAAAAAATTCAGCCTAATGATTCCTTATTATGCGTTAAAACCAACAACAATAACAACAAAAATATTTTCAATTGCTTACAAGAATGTCTTTACTTCTGAGTGTGAAGAAGTCTGAAGTCCCACTAGGTCCTGTAAAAGCATGCTGTCTTCCATTTATCAAAACTATTCTGCCTAAAAAGGTATTTGCTCTCTTAATACTGCATATAAAGATGGTTTGAATACTTTGACTACTTCTCTTCCCCTCTCTACGGCTTGTCCTTCTTTTCTTAATTATTTACAGTAAGGTTTAGAAAATTTCCAAAAAAAATTAGTTTAAGGAAAAAAATGATTTACATTCAGACTGAGAAATCTAACTCAAATGCCTGAGAAACACCTGGAAGAAAAATTACCTTGACTGATTTTCCCACTCAATTCTCTTCAGTTAGAGGTGAGACATATTTTAGACACCATCTAAAAATTCTAAGAAACATTACAAAAACTAAGGACAACACTGGATATTCCCTATATTTTTCAACTAAAATCTGAAACCTGAAGTTCAAGTTTCTACCATATATAATTATGAGTCAACAAATCAGCCATGGGCCTTTTCTTTCCTTATGGACAACCCCGTACTAAAGCAAAGCTTTCTACATAGCTATCATCAGACTTTCCTCCCCTACTGCATAATTTTTCTTTGGCTTTTGACCACAACAAAAATACTTACCTCTGAGATGCAAATCAGGTTAGGAGTGCAAACCTAGGACCATGCAGCACAGTCACAATGAAGGTGCTGACTCCCCTGACTCTGAATTGAGAGTTGAAAATCAGCTCATGGGAATCTTTACTGCTTCATCTCCACAGGCAAAATTTTAAATTTTACTGTCCTATTTTAATCCAACCAATTCAACTACGTGATCTGTGAAACTGCATCACACGGTGCTTTCTCAGCTCTTTTATCTCTACAAACTTACAGGAGTGAGTATAGAATTCAAAAAATGTCAGTTCCTACAGGCATCACTGAGTTGCTTCATATTTGCAGAGAGAATTGACTTTTTCTCCCCCTTTTCTATCTCAATTCCTTTACCAGTTACACAAGGAATTACACAGTATTTTGTAAGATAATTTTAAAGTCAGTAATTAACAGAATTTCAGAGATATAAGAATCTGTATTGTAATCTTACACCAATTATCTGAACTCCTCCCCCACTCCCCTCCCCTCCTATTAAGAGAAGTGATGCTTTAACAAGCTTTCCTCTTTTTATTAGACCTCACACTATTCTCTTTTCCTATCCTCTAGGTCTTTCCTTGTCTCCCTTTGTCTCCTCCACTCCTTTTTCAGAGGCTTTTAGAAATGCAAGAGATGAACATTCATCACAAAGCAGTACAGTTCATTGAGCACATGTAGCTGCAAGGATATTTCTTGGAACAAACAAGAGGACTGTTTACAATACCTCTGCCCTTCTCTAAGTCTCTTCCATAGCTCTCATCTTATCTCCTGCTCTCATCGCCCTCCCTCCTACCATCTATTCTTTCTTCTAGCATTTTCTTGGCCTCCCTTTTCTGCCCACCTTTTTTCCCTGTTCTGCCTTCACTGCTCTCTCCCTCCTCTCCTCTACTGGCTGAATGTGAACTGCCTCTTCTTGTTAATGCAAAGCATTCTCTCCACATCTATTATTTTAGGCAAGTTGTTCAAATGTGAGAAAAAGACTCTTGATTTCAACTCACTGTATGCTGCCTTCTAGAACAGCCTAAACATTCAGAGATTGTTTCACAAAACAAACACAGTGCACGAACAGGAACACAAGAATAAAATACATGCAAAGCATAAACAAGGAGCTTATTTCCTGACCAAAAAAAAATTATTCTTTGAGGCAGTCATTTCTGAGACAGCTAATAGTAACATTCATTAATGGTCTTTCATAAGAGAGTTTGCCTCTCCCACTAGAAACAATACTAAAACTTTTACATCTTCAGAGATAGTAATCAACCCTCAAACAGAAAGACAAGTCCTCTGTGCTCATCTGGACTAGGAGAAGTATACTGGAGGGCACACCTTTTTTTTTTTTTTTTTTTTAAATCTCTACAGAAAACTTCATTAAGTTGTTGCAATATATATCTGTTCTTACCTTCTAGTGAGGTGACTAGATGAAAGAAGCAGACCATCCATATCCAACCCATTCCCGCCACTCTTCTTGCACTGATGCCACCATTAGAATCCATGAAGATTCTCTGTGAATACCACCATCTTTAACAAACACACACCACTCCTTTGACACGGTCAGAGATTTCTTGGAGTGTTTTAATATCTTCACAAATCAAAGCACAGAGGTCTTCACACAGAAATACTGTTTAAGGAAAAACAGAAGATGGAAACAGAAATCAGGCCACAATAATACAAAACTGGCAGTTTTTATACACCCACTCCATCACTTACTACTTCCGAGGTACAAGTGAGACAGAGAAGTACAGACTCAGCATTTACCACAGACCCGGCCCTCAAGACTTCAGTCAGTCACAGGTGTTTTGTACACTGCCTGTACAGATTTTGGGACATTCATGGCATCAGTGAGAGTGGGTTTTCTCACTCTCAATCTGTGAATCTGTACCACAGTACGGGTTGTACCCCTGCTGAAGTCCTGGCCATTTGTATCTCTCTGGTAATGTCTCTTAGAAGGTGTCCTTTCCACTTCCACTGTATGTTTTTCAAATTCTGTCTCATTTTGCCTGTTCAGGACTCTGCAGGGCAGTAGCTATGACAGGAGAGTTTTTGCCAGCACAAATCTGCATGGCTGACACACTTGTAACTGTGTATCAGGTGCAGGCATTTGTCCCTTTAAGCATACGACTGCACAACATTACTGAAGCTGGACAGCATTTTTCCCACTGATATGTTGCACGTGAGGAAGCAAACGTTGTGATATTTAAGGTCAAATAGGGAGTCTGTGTTGCAGCCAGAAAAAGCAGAAAAAGTCTAAGTTTATCGTCTTAAGTGGGAAAAAAATCCAAACAAAACTCTATCACCACCATTAAGAATCTGACACACAGGCTTATCTCACAGAAAAGGAGCAGCATTTAGCCTAATCCAGCATTGCATGAGATCAATCCAGCACAATAATTTTGCTAAGCAAGGTAATTTTGGCTCCATCTGCCCAATTGTCGTCCCACCAGAGAAATATCACAATAATATGTAGGTTGCATGCAAAAAGCCAGTATGTTTTGTTTCTTCAAGTGCTCTTTGCGCAGAGCATTGAAAATACTTCACTGTCTTCAGTGAGACAGTGAAGCGTAGCTAAGGAGAAAGAAAAATGTCTCAGGCAATATAGAGAAATGGCTCAATAACTTGGCTGAAACAGCAGAGGGAAGAGTTGTAATTAAAAGGGGCAGCCTCAGTGCAATTATCTGAAAACCTTGCAATGGAGGATTTGAGCAAGCTGGGCATAGCAGAGAAAAAAGCAGCCTGAGGAGCATGCAAAAAGGCAGTGGAGTGCAATTTAATTTTCTTTACTGGAGAAGGGGAGAAATTAACTGAACAAGATGCAATAGTTCTCTCTGCCCCCGAAAGAACCTAGAACACCAAACACAGTTGAACCAAAGGCACTGGGCATCACTAAAAGGCAAGGAAACTAAAGGAACCTCAGCAAGAGGCAAAAACGTTGATTCATGACTTATAATAAAAGAAAAAATAAAATCAGTTCAGTATAACAGAGGAAAAATGAAGATGCTATAATATACAGGTACTGCATATTAGTCAGTGTATGCATCACAATGTATCACAGAAGGAAAACACCACTGGATGTAACTATAAAAAGGACAACATTTCAGACTGAATGATCAGAAAGCCCTTCTTTACAGAGAGAACTATCCAAACACATAGCAGTGTTCTCCTGGAATAGGGCTGAAGACTGCTGCCTGAGCCACAAAAACCAAGACTGGGTACACCAGAACCAAGCCTGCATGACTATTCTATATGGAGACATAAATACTCACCATTTGTACTGCCAGTCAATCTGAAACATTATAATATCTAAAAGCTTTTTTATTACGCCAGTAAAATCCTGAGAGATGGGGACTTTTAAACATTCATTTTAAAGGCAAATAAATGCAGAAACAGAGGTCAAATAAACTGAACACAACTTTCATTTCAGTCAATGGGACTGCATTCATTTACAGAAGGTTTGAAAACAGCTTACAGTCTGGATTTTCTCATGCTACACAACTAATGAGTGGCAGAGCAGAAGACAGAACCCAGATATGCTCTGGAGGCTGAATCTCAGGCAAAAGTATTGAAATTACCACAGATATAACTAAAAAAAAAAATCCCTTGTACACAAAAGCTTCAAGGAAATCCATTTTTCTGCTTTCCTCCTGACCTGCACATCTCTCTTACAACGTCTGTTTGGCTTACCCTGGTCAACCCTGTATACCGGCAAAGTTGCATGGCTCTTCATGAGGAATCATACAGCCTTTGTCCAGATTAGACTGGAAATTATTTTTCTCTGAAATAAATTGTGGCTAAATCAAAAAGCTGGTTATGACTAAGTAGTTAAAAATAGGTAATTTTGCCTTTTTTTATTATTATTATTTTTAAATTTTATTTTATTCTGCCTCTTCCACACCTCAATGGAAAATGCTTACTCCACAACCAAGGAGAGAGACAACATTATGGAAGCGTTTAAGGGAGAGTAGGAGGGAAGCACTAGCCTCTCTGAATTAAAGAGTACCAAGCCCCTAAATTGCTAACCACTGCCCTGCCCTTCCCCCTAGCACTTGATGTGTATAGAATCTGACTACACCCAAAGACGCTCATCTTTCATTCTTCAGTTCTCCTACTATTTCTTCCCTATACCAAACTACGTAAACAGAAACCTCAAACCATCCCAACTTTTAAACCACTCTCTTCTCTTGTCCACACAAGCACCTTTTCATGGCCTTCTCATCTAGTTACTTCTTCCAAAACTGCTTTCAGAGAGATTACTTCTTGCTATGGAATCCACTATTCCCTCTTCTCCTCCAAATCTAACTGCAAAGTAATACACCTTGTCACAACAGGACTCTTCAAAAAACTTCCTTAAATACCCTTTTATCATCCTGTCTCTCTTCCAACTACATGAACTTGTTGGTAATGTACCATCTGTCAATCCTCTTACGCTAACTCTTCCATAAAGGATTCTAAACCCCTTTAGACATGTATTTCCTTAGGTAGTGGAATTCTCTCATTCTCCTTGGAAGTCCTGAAAATCCTAAAGCATCTGAGAAGCATGACAGTTCCTGAGAATCCCAATGTCTTTTAATGATTCAGCCCTATAAAACTGTGAAGATCCCAAGCAGTTGGAAAAGACGAGTAACTTTTGCTTTAGCACCAAGCTCAAAGAGATGGAGGATGGAAGCCTCCAGGTTATCTGCTTACATTATTCACCAATGCTATCATGGCTGTTTACTTTGGCACCATCTCTGTGCCACTGTACCTGGATTACCAAAATTTATGTTCAAGATCCCAATAAGAGAGATGAATACAATCATCACCAGTATTTTCAAGAATCTTGGTTTCTTAGCAGAACAACCAGAGAGGAGAAGAGTTCTTTGGGAAACTTGTCAAGATGAGTTTTGAACATTGCCGAGGATGGAGATTCCTCAGCTTCTTTGGACATCTGTACCAGCACTGAACTGAATTTTTTTTTAAATTATTTTTTCATGAGGGACTTTTTTCTTTCTTCTATACAGTCAGAATCTCTCTTGCTCTATTCCATGGTTTATTTCAACAGAAGAGGGATAGCTCTTGCCCATCATCTTGCCCAGCTTCTTATACCCAAGACTACAAACACAAACGATTTCAGCTGGAAAGTCTCAAATATGAAACATAATACACCTGGCTTAGCTGGTACTATTTAAGGTCTGTTTCATCTCACCAGACAGAACCAGTGCTGTAATTTCTCACTTTTTCTGAACTCAGTCTTGAAGTCAGAACACTTTAGTACAATTCCAGGCAAATGATGCTCAGTGCTACAGAACAGATAGCAATAGTGTTTCCGTATGTACTAAATCAACAATGTTATTACAGTTCTGAGCTTGTGGGATATCTCTCACAAAGGGGGCTGCTATGGGCCAATGCTGTAATCGAAACTGTGGCAAAGTATTTAATGCAGTGAGTATCTCTGAGGCAGTTTCCTTATGCAAATAAAGGATTTCCCCAAAGTTCAAGCACCTGAAGAGCCATGGGCACTAGTGTTGCTTAACAGGTCAGCATTAATTCAAAATTCTCTTCTATCAGTACATATGCTTTTATTAGAAAGGAAGCAGATTTGCTCCTAGGTTTGTGTAGTCATTTATTTTAGAGTACCCCAACGGTATATGTCTTGAGTCTTGATGGAGGTGGTCATACACGTGACAAACCTAAGATAAGCCTCCTTAAAATGGACTGATTCTATTTCTTTTGGGTTTGCATGGCACTCTGAGACTGATCAAAACAGTGACAACAATATAAACAGTGTTAATTCTGTTCTGCTGGACCTAAGCTTTAAAGAAAATACCTTGTTTTCTAATCTTTTTGATTCTATCCATAAATCTTTAGACAGACCTTCACTGAAGCATGTTCTAGCTTAGTACGCAGACAATATGTAGTCACAGATGAGAAAGTAATGCACATTGACCCTATTCCCCTCTGACAGATACACACTGCAGAACCTGACATCAAACAACATTAAACATGCATCTGAACAATGTACCTGGTGTGGCTTCTGCAGGAGGAATTCAGGCATACTTTTAGAATTAAGAAAAAAGCTAGGATTGTTCAGGCACTGCACAAGCCTCCTGAGAAAATACAAGGGCCTGACAGATTCTTCTTCTCCATTAATGAAATGTAGCTGTTTCTTTGAGTTCTGTGAAATTGGAGCAAACCAGAGGCATCAGGAAGAACTATCAGTCTTGTAGCCCTAATCTCTACAGAAGACCTATGGGTAGTTCTGATATTCTATTCCTTAAAAGCTGATAGGAGATTGATCCACTGCAGAGAGGATGCTCTGTCCTGCACTACTTTGTAAAAATCTTAACTCTAATATTGGTTCAAATACTTTATTCTCAGGATGCATGGAAGCAAATGGAAACAATGGACATGACAACACAATGTAAAAATTGTCAGTTCTTAATCAAGAGTTCCTGACAGCCTTCCTTATTGGAAGAACACTTGTGTTTTTAAATGTGCAGTCAAGAGAATAACAATTCTGCATGCTTTAGTGCAAACTACATTTCAAAACACGAGCTAACACTGAAGCAGACCAATGTCCACCTAGCCCATGTTTTCTCTGCACCACCAGCGCCAGGGAGAGCTACATGGAGATGGCTTACAAGC